GGGGTTTTATATCAGCGGATCTTCTTCGGCTAGTGCGCGCCCATGTTCGGATCCCATTCGGGTGTCAGTTCGATATGTACTCGAACTGTTACAGTGGCTCCTAATCGCTTCGAGGGCGCTGTCTAGCTCGTCGACGCCAGATTGTTGTTCGTGGGACGCTATAGGCGGTAGCAGCGCGTCGTTCACTCTAAATTTGTTTAGAATTAAGATTAGTAATAGCAAGAAATAGATCTGCTTTAGAATAGGTTTTTAACGTGTTGCGTTGTTGAGACATTACGCGTTGTTGTTGCAAAGGTGCGATATTTTGGTGAGGTAGACCACATACTGGGGTGGGCCGCTTACTGGTGAAACACGTTATATATCTCTTAAATTACTATAATTTTACTATTCAAAGCTTATAATAGATAGAGGTAGATCTAGTAAGTATATAAATGTATATTTATGTCTAAGAACCTCTGCAGCTTAGGCGTAAGGTGCTTGGGGCAGTGTTGGTGGTTCGTTGCGGAGGAATGTTCGACCCACAGGGATTGACGTTACCTGTACGGTTTAGATACACAATAGGCAATAGTAGTAGGATGGGTGTGCAAATAGTCTATATTAATACGAGACATATCGCTAGAGAGCTACTCTACCGATCTAGGGGTTTATATATGTGAGGCTGACTAATATGGGCTGACAGCCCCTAACAGGGACAGCGGGAGGTTGTTCCTGACATTAACCCATCGTGGATCTTAGTAACATCCATAGCCGCCTAATTGGTAACTGCATTTAAGACCGTAATCCTTAGCGCAATCCGACACCAAGCTACCATGATATCCATTGCACCAAAGCTTTTCAAATTAGTTCTAGGAGGTGGGGAGATTCTAGGTTATTGTCTGCGTACGATTTTGTTTCCATCGGAGCTGCATGCCTTAACCCTTTTATTAGTGTGACAAATTCTTGTAGTAAGTAAGACACTTAAACGTACCTCGTAGGTGCCTGAAGATTGTGTGCACTGTCCGTGAACGTGGACTAGAGATAGTGCAGTAGCGAGGATATAAGTAAATGAGATACGCATGTTGATTATTGGTGGTACAGAATTTACCCTAATAATGGCTGAAGTCTTGTAAAGCGTGAAAATTGAATAGTACTTCCTAACCTTGAGGACAAGTTGAAGACTTTATATATCTCTAGTAAGGAGGCTAAGGCTCAGACGTTAATAAACCTCTCGCCGGAGGTTGACGGAAGCTGGTAAGCACTGCTGTACTGTAGTTGCAGGCATAAGTATTGTTCGGTCCGACGAGGTGGGGCCCGAAGGCATGTAACAGTACATTAATTTAAATTGGCTGACGTGATTTGTCCCCAAGGTTTTGAGATTTGTCCCCAACCGAAGTACCGAAATGCTTTACATCCGCACAACTCAACGCTGTCAAGAGAGCAAATTAACTTTTGGATATAAAAATGATCCCAAAGCATTAAGAATCTTCTCTGTATATTTACAGCCCAAAACAAGCCCATGTTGTGGTTTAATTGCGCATCAACGTTGGTGATATTTTTATGAAAATCGTCAACTTTAACTCTATCTAGGTCATTTCCATCGCTATGAAAACCTATTAAATATAAACAGAGGATGCTTTGAAGTATATGGATCGCATATCTAGCTTCAAAAATAAAAATTACACTTGACGTTGCGGCAAAGTTGCATTGTAAAGCACAAAGACTGCTATTTTCGGTACTTCGGTTGGGGACAAATCTCAAAACCTTGGGGACAAATCACGTCAGCCATTTAAATTAGGCCGAGTACAAAGATACCGTCGTGAGAGGGCCATTAGGTGTTATGCTGATTATTCCGCCGTCAGTACACGCTGAGGAAATCTGAGATTGGAGCCGACTTTTCCCAGTGGAACGGCGCAATCGCGATGCCTGTCCGCGCGATTACCTACAGTGTCTGTGCGCGTGCCGCCCATGTTCGCGTGCCGCCCACCCCAACCACTTTACGCAGTGTAAATAGATAGAGCTGTGGAGCCACGCACAATAGCTATTATCGCAAGAAAACTTGGAGCAGTTCTCTATTAAATATTCTAATTAATTCCCTAGCTCAAACTTTTTGCGTGGGGCGATTTTGCGGCCACGGCTGTTGTATGTAGGTGGAGGGGTTGGGGAACGCGCCGTAGCAACACAAAAACTACGGGCAGCTGCAGCACCACGACTCTGCTTCTTTCTAGGTGCTGCAGACTGTGAAGCTTTCCGCTTGCCTCTTTGGGTCAGTTGTATAGCTTCTACAGCATCGCGCTCTTGCTTTTGACGCTCTCGTTCAGCTTTGCGTGCAGCTGCTTCCTCACGCTTCAGCTGTGCTCGCTCAGCAGCCTCCTTTCTCCTTGTTGCAGCAGCAGCTTTCTTCTCAGCGTCAAGCTTTTGCTTCAGCTTCCTGTTAGACTCATGGAGCTCTCGCTCAGTGTGTTTGCGGAGCTCGTTGTCCCTCTCCTCCTGCTCAAATACATCCTACACAATATGCCACACGGAATTATGGTCGGAAGGGGATTATGGTCGGATAGCGCGTTTTACCCCTGTCCG